AGGAGATTTTACACCTATCGACATTGTGATGTCAAAGCAAGCATTTAGGTGATTAATGTTAAAGAAAATATCATTGTACGTGACTCATCATGAAAAACCATTTGGTTTAGTTGATGGGAATCTCATATGAGATAGATACTAACCGGTCATTTGACTTGAAGTCATTAGGATTATTTGATTAGAGGATATATATATTTTGACACTTGTTTCAATAGGCTCAATCAAAAGTTATAAATGGGTGATTTATTAGATGCACTAGGAATATAATAGAGATATATGGATAACTAAGATAAGATATGTCATTCTTTTTATGCTAAAAGAGTTATTACATTGTACTTCGATGAATGTCTACTCAAGAAATCTATAGCCATAGTAGGAGTATACCAATAGAGCATAGTTAATTTACTCTAGAGCTAAAACATTTAAGAATCGGAGAAAACTTATGTGATCATAATCAAACAAACTTTAAACCAAGCTTAACATCACATTGTAATGAATTGACATAAGGATCTGAATTGTATGATAATTATATTCATGAAAGATAATTATGGATTAATTAATTCTCTTAAAGAATTGGATCATTATGATGCCTTACTAGAGGATAATCTTGATTTATGTTTCAAGGGATAAAAGAGGTGTCTTTTATTCTTAATACATTGCCAACATATTTAAGAGTTTATTGAGTCATACACATAAGTTCAAACATTTAGATAATAAAAGAGAAGCAAATGTTTTGAAAAAAATTTCATGTTTTGGAAAAAGTTTCCTAAAATAAAAAATTTTTCATTTTAGAATTTAGTTTCCTAATTTAGAAGTTAATTCTAAATTTGGAAGTTAGTTACCTATAAAAGAAATTAGTTTTCTAATTTAAGTTTAATCGTAATTTGGGAAATTATTTCCCAATGTAGGCTCCTCTAAAATACTTAACTTAATTTATTTGGATGGTCTAAATTAATTGATAATTAATTGGGCCAAAAGAGTTTGGACTAATATGCTTAATTTAATAGTCTTAAAGATATTTTGGTGGAAGGATAAATTTGAGCTCTATTGGATAAGACTCGGGGTTTATAAGAACAAAGCTAGAAAAAGTCTACATAGGTAACATCTCCTTGACCTACTATGAGATGTTACCGCCCTCAATATAAATAGAGGTGAGAAAGGCAGCAACAGAGAAAAAAATAAAATAAAAAATGGCATGAGCAAGAAAATGAAGAGAAATGTTTTCTCTTAAAAACCTTGGTTGTCACACCTCTCCTTATCAAAGCTAATAGTTGGCACAAATTACCTTGTAGGATTTTTAGAAAAACATTAGCTACACCAAAGGATTTGAGCTAGCACTCTACAATTTTTGTAGCTTCACTTTGTGGATGTTTGAGTTACTTAGATTATCAATACGAGGTCGGACACTTAGATGACATCTTTTTACATAGATAGTTTTTGTGCTACAAGAGGTAAGCACTTATTGTAATTATTTATTCATGTATGTATGATTAGTTGATTCATTAGCATGATCTTGAGAATCCTAGATGGAGAAAAAATTTTTATTTTATTTTATACCTCCATAAGATGCATGACCTTTCAATGGGTATTAGAGCCTCAATTGAATATTTAATTGTATGATGTGTTAATTATGATTAACTATATGAATTGATGTTTTCCGAATATAAATCTAAGGTTTTGGTATTTTATAAATATTTAAAATGATTTTTGAGCTAAATAAAGTAGGTGTATGCGAGGCCAATGTTGGATGCTAGCACTCGTGTAAGTGATAACAAATACGTCGAGCATGCATCGGACCGAGTGTGCCAAATGCATGTAAGGCCGAGCCAAGCCGTGCACACACTAGGTGCACGCTAGCCCCGTGGCAAAGGCGAGGCATAAACCGGATGCACACTAGGCTTGGGGCGAAGCCAAATGCACGTTGGGCATGCCCAAGGCCAAGCATGCCTCGTGCTTGCCAAGCACATACAAACATGTTAGGCACTAAATCCAAGTGTGTGCGAGCATGCCAAGTAGTATTGCTAGGCATATGCAAGCATGTCGAGTAAGAGGGCAAGCACGCACGAGCATGCCGAGTAAAAAGGAGGCACGCTCGCGTGTGCCACATGCCAAGCCAAGTGTTCATAATTACAACAAGCCAATTAGCGCTAGGCCAATGCCGGGCATTAGCTAACTAGCCTACCAAGGCTTGTACTAGGCACTCGGCCGAAGGATCATGCATCGTATAGAGATGCGAAATAAAAATTTCCTCCATATAAAAGGTCCAAATTCATATTTTTGAATCAACTAACTATATATTCCTGAATTAAAGCTCTAAATAAAGAATTTTCTCTTGTAGTATAAATTTAAACCTTTGAAGAAAAGAGTCATCAAAGTGTTCGATCTCTATCGATAATCCACGCAGATTCAAACACCCACAAAAGAAGCACTCAAAATTGGTAGAGTGCTAGCTTCATTTTTTCTGACTTTGTTCAATGTTTTTCTTTAAAAATCAAATCGAGGTAATTTTGCAATAACCCATAGAGAGAGAAGAAAAAAATGACGTGCTAAGGTTAGGGAGAAAACAATTTTCTCCTTGTTTTATTTTGAACCATATGCCCTAATTTATTTTCTTGTTTAGCCATTTTCTCTCTCCTTTAAAACCTTTCATGTTTGCCTCATCTCTTTTGTATATATATAAGGGAGAGGCTTCTTTGTCCTTCAAAGACAAGGAGGGGCGGTAAGTAGTCCTAACTAGATCCTTGGTTGTTTCTTTTTAATCCTCTAATGATTATGAGTTATTTTGTATGTGAGCTTTTTATTTTTATCTTTAAAACATTCATCTTTATCCAATAAGACTCATGTTTATCCATATACCAAAATAAATTTTAGGCTTTTAATTAAACTTATTGGCCCAAAACTATCTTGGCCTAATTAATTAATTTGGACTATCCAAATAAATTGAGTTAGATAATTTTAAAATGCCCACATAAGGAAATAATTTTTCAAATTACTCTTAAACTTAAATTAGGAAACTAATTTCCATTTTAGGTTATTCATTCGAAATTTGGAACTAACTTCCAAATTAGAAAATTAATTTCTAAAATAGAAAACTCGTCATTTTAGAAAACTTCTCATTTTTAGAAACCTTTTCCAAAAGAAGATACTTTCAAAAAATTGAAAAAATTTTCCAACATCTTTGTTTGTCTTTAATCATGTGAATGCTTAAACTTATGTGTATGACTTAATAGGCTCTTAGATATGTTGACGAGTGTATCAAGAGTAAAAGACATCTTACATAATTCAAGATTAACCTTTAGCAAGACATCATGACTACCCAATTCTTTAGGAGGATTAATTAATCCATAATTACCTTTTATGAGTATGGTTACCATATAATTCAATCCTCATGTCAACTTATCACGAGTGTGATCTATTACTTGATTATTATTCTAGTTCGATTATGATCACATAAGTTTGTTTTGATTTTCAAATGTTTGAGCTCGTAGAGTAAACCAACTATGCTTTATTGGTGTACTCCTACTATGACCATAGATTTCTTAAACGGACATTCATCGAAGTGCAATGTGATAACTTTTTTAGCATATAAGGAATGATATATCCTATCTTAGTCATCCACTTACCTTAATTAGATTCCTAGTGCACCCAACAAATCACTCACGTGCAACCCTTTATCGGGTCCATGAAAACGAGTGTCAAAGTACACAAATCATCCAATGAGATAACCGCGATGACTTCAAGTGTATCCATCTTATATGAGATTCCTATAGACTAAACCAAATGGTTTCTTATCGCAAGTCAAGTCTAGTGATATATTCTCTAATATAAATCACCTAAGTACTTGCTTTGACATCAACATGCCAATAGTTGTAAGACCTCCTACTCGCAATTATATAAGTATGAAGCATAACACTCACAAGTCTAACAACATCTAGTCAATATCAATTATTGACAATGCTAGGACTTCAAATATTTAATGATATTATTAATGTATATTAGTATTTGTCTCATATTTTTTAATCAATCATCAATGTAAATACATATCACAAGGGTTGATCGATCGCATAATTTTATTCATTCATGAAAATGAATCCCAATTAAAAACAAAATAAAGAAAATGTTCACTTCTCTTCGATATTTGATCTGATCAAAGCTTGATATAGGTGAAGAGTTTGTCCTAGAAAGGCCTTAACCAGAGCGAGTCGTTTGCTTCCTCGAATTTGATGAGGCCGTTTCGGGGTTTCTCTCCTTTTGTGCTCTAGCATGGAGACATGGATAATGGCACCGTGTGGAGTCTTCACAGTTTGGCATCATCCAAAAAGTAAGTGAAAGTGGGCAAAGAATCTGATGACTACGCAAACCATCAGCATTTTGTCCAATTCCTTACGAAACCTCATCCTGATCCCAAAACCCACCCACAAAGCTTAACCCAGATAATCCAAACAAACAATTTTATTTGCCAATCAAAACCAAGCAAATTCGTATAGAAAATAGAAAGTACAAACCAGTTGTTCGAGTTGGATACATAATAACATAAAACACGAGGTGACCCTTCCACTTGAGATACAACAAGTGGCATGCTTGGCCCGGGCTCACCATACCTGGCCACATGGCAGCGTTTGTGCCACGTGTTGGCCAGAGGCAACTGACTTTTCTAGGGAATAGTTTTTAGCCGCTCTCCTTAGCATTTGCGGCTTTGCTATCTTGTTTGGCCGTTTGTTTTGGATGAGGGAAGGTGGTGGTTTCATCAGCTAAGCAAATTGCTTACTCAGGTTAGTGATAACCCACGCATGTAAGAAATGAAAGAGCAAACCCTCTCCCCGAAGGAATCAACCTAAAACTCCTTTAGACCTTTTAAACTTTACTTTTTACTCTTCCTTTCTTTATTTACTTATTAAAAAATCTCGTACACCAAGGATTCTTTCCTTTTCTTTTCAAGCTCTCTCCTCACGATAAAAATACATACAACAATCTAAAACAGAGGAAAGGTTAGAAGAAAAATGTGTCACCCAGGTTTGCCTTTAGTTAGCCAAAGGAACTTGGTGGTGTATCAAAGATGGCTCGTTGTGCAAGCAGTTGAGACAGAAACCGCACATGCACGAACAGAGGTGGCTGCTGGTGGCGGCAGTGCTATTGCTTGCTCGATAAAGCAGTGTTTGTGTTCACCCACAAGGCACCCCGGATCCTTCAGGTGCAAGCACCACCGTTCTGATTATGTGTGGCGTGGGAGAATAAGAAGAAAGAAGCAACTCCTTGAAAGGTCCGATGTAAGTGTCTAATCAATGAAATAGAGTTCAAAGTGTACATTTCTCGCTTTGTCTAATAAATTTGGTTCCTATCTATTGCTCCAGTTTCACACTGGGTTACGTCGAGAAACATTATTTAGTGGAGTAACAGAACCAACAGGCATAGAAACATGAAAATGGAATCCGTTTTCAGATTTTCAGGACTTAGGCGGAAGGAGTAGAAGGGTTCTGAGGCTGATTTTGATAACTGGTCTAAAATTCTCATCTATTTTCTTCATGTGTCCATTTGACATTAATGCAATACAAGAACTCAATTTTTGTAAAGAATATTCTTTTTTCATAAAAAGTTAAGCATCTAGGAAAGGGGACTTTTAAAAGAATGGCTTTCTTGCAAAGAATAAGTAATCGCATCTTATCATCAGTTGAAGATGGGGATGGATACGCTTTTTTATTGTGGCATCATATCGAAGACACAATAGGTTTAATTACGTAGGTTTTCACACTCTATTTTACTTTAATAGATGCTATTCCCAAATAAATCTTATCACGGATCCCCCAAAATTGGGTTATCGATTTCATCCGTCCTTGTACTGCTACTGTATGTTTAATTAGGTCCCTCTACCAATATAAAGGTTTTTTAAGTCCCTCTGCATCAACAATTTGTTTAACATAACGTGAACACTAATATTTAAAAAAAAAATGGAAATGTAAGTAGAAAATAAAATTTTAATAAATAAAAAAAGAAACTGTTAAAAAAATCCAACTATTTTGAGAAAAAAGATTTTTAAATATTTTTTCAAAATAAATGACAATTTAATTAAAATAAATGGACATAAAATTAACAAATATATCTGTTTGTTGAACTTTCGTTATCTGTACTCCTTTACATCTAAAATCTACTATTCAAAAGATACCCCTCCCGATGATTTTTGCTCCTTCTGTCACTGTGTTACGAGCGATCAGAACTAAATTGTGAATTAAAAAGAGATGGTTATTGCTCTAGCAACCAGTCGTTGATATTTGCATAATTTGTATTTGAGATAGGCACGTGCCAATGGTACAAATGGCAGTTATTCTTTAGGTTAGCACTTTAGGGATATAAATCTTAACAGAATCGATGTTTTGCTAATTATGAAAAATGAGAAATACATCTCTCTCTCTTGAAATGTCTTATCTTCTCCTCTACTACACCTTTATTGAGCTCTCTTACTCTTATCAAATATGGATTTCGCTTGGAATTCCTTCTCTCACAATTTAACTCAGAACACACGGAAGTGATCGAAATCAGAATTCTCATGCCCCCAACAAACCTTTGACACCTTTTCACTTTCACATTCTTCTTCGCTCCAAAGCTACAGTTTTGGCAGAGCAAAAATACTGGGATGAAATGCGAGAACCCATGATTTCAATAAGGCTACCAGCGGCAATTACAATTAAATGTACAGCAAAAATACTGTTAGCTATGTTGGTGTTAAAGGATGCTTACTTTCATTTGAGGGTATGGTTACCAGAATAATATTAGATCGGTTAGTCCAACTTAAAAACCGATGGATGGAATATCAGACTGGTCTAGGTTACGGTAAGGATCATTTGGGCATTGGATCTGGTCAAAATCCGGTTTGAATCGATGAAAACCGACTGACCCGCATAGGTTGAACATACCACGTGTAAGTCAACAAAAAATGGGAAGGAAAAAAAATGTTGTTGCTGTGGGTTAAACCTCAAGTGGTGTATCTTGTAACAAGCTTTCAACATATTATAAATTGTCATCTTTCTTTCATTCAGGGATGGGGGTGGAACCAATGACTCTTTAAGAGTTTTCCAAAAGATCTTCCAATTCAAGATCTGGTTCGGTTTTAATAACACTTTTTCATGGTCTTCTTGGAATGATCTTGGCCCTTCTCTTTTAACTGCAGACTCGTGCAATTACTTCCTTCAAAAGCAAAATTAGATTGAGATTTTTTTATGCAAGACAACGACAAAACCAGTCTTTTGGTGTTGGGCTTTTTGTAGTGATGATTCATGGCCGGGGGTGATTTGGCTTGGTCGCTCAGTTTTCCTTCATTTGAGGAAAAAAGAAGGCATGCAACTATGGCGATTTAAACCCCTAACTGCAAGCAAAAGAAGCATGAACATACTCACTTGATTATTGATTGTTTTTTCGTCCAAATATTCCAACAAACGTATAAATATTATCTGTCACCTGCTGAACCAACTGATGACTCGTCAGTCGGATCATTGAATAGGTGACTCGAGAGCTTAACTAGTTCAAGATCTTGTTTTCTTCTGATAATACTACAAAAATCCCTACAACCATCGTAAATCAACATTTTTCTCGGATTTACAAATCATGAACTCTTTTCTTCTTCTTCTTCTTCTTCTTCTTCTTTTTCCCCCACCATTTCCAATTTGTTAATCTCTCAAATCCTTCTCTGCACCTCAATTTGAAACTCTTGGTTCATCAAGACTCTTGCCATTACCATACCTAACTTTAAATGAATAAAAAATGAAACCTACCGTCCTCGAACAGCACCCTAATACACTGAGAGCTTGTTACACGATACAAACAGTGGACACCCTACAATAATACTTGTAACTCTAGTAAAATCCATAACCGTATAAGTGTATGTATCGAGATATTTATATTCATACGTATATATATAGTATATCGGTTACGTACGTGAAAATCAGTAACTAGGTCAAAATATGTACTCGAAATATGTGGTATGTACGTATTTGTTGAGAGTAACTATGTACGTAAATATTTAGGCAGAATAATTTTGGATGAATTAATTAGTAAATCCCTTGTAAAGTGATAATTGCCAAACATTTTGGGTAAAAATTTTTAGAAACATAAATAAATAAATTACCCTCAAATTAATCACAATTTAAGCCTCATTTACATTTCATATTACCTCAATCTATTGACACTTGACTTATTCATTAATTGGGAGAGGAAACATGAGATATTTAAGCAAGAAAATGGATAAGGATGCCCTTATTTTCTAGTGCATCCTGTTACTTACCCAAAAGAAAGAACGAAAAAGTGAAAGAGAAGGGAGAAAGGGAGAAAAACGGGAAGAAGAAGAAGGGGAAAAGAAAGGAAAAAGAAAGGGAAACTAAAAAGAAGCTAAATAGATTTTAGGAAAGTTTAATCCAAAGTAAGTAGGTTTCATTTTTTTTTTTTTTTTTTTGCTTTGTTTATGCTTTCCATGTTTATTCTATGAGTTGTTGAATTCATATAAAATGTGATTATGGTATTTTGTGATGACTTTAAACACTTAATGTTTGATGAAGGATGATTATGCATGTGTGACGAGAAATGTGCTTTAAGAGAAGATTTCTAGATTTTAGGAATGAAAAAACCTAAACTTTGTGTGATTTATTTTAGGATCTTAGAGTGATTGTTAGGAAAAATACAAAGAATAAAAATTGTTGGTCTATATGTCTACTATATCTCTTTAAAATTTCTTAACTTTTAGAAATATATATATGGAGTTATGACTGACTTGGTATGGATTATTCGAATGGACCATCTACTAGAAAAATATTTCATTCGAAAGTTGTGTGATTTATTTTGGGATCATAGAGTGGTTTCTGGGCAGAACTTAAAGAAGGAAAGTTGTTCATCTATGTGTCTACTAGATGTATATAAAAGTTCATAATTTTTATATCTGTATGTAAGGATTTATGACTAATTTGGTACAGATCATTTGAATGGACCACCTACTGGAAAAAAATTATTTAGTTCCAAAACTTGTGTGATTTATTTAAATATTTTAGAATGATTTTTGGAGTAAACTTAAAGAATGAAAGTTGTTGATCTGTGTGTGTACTATCTCTCCTTAACATTTTGTGATTTTTAGATATATATTTAAGGAGTTATGGTCGATTTGATATAGGTTGTTTAGGTGTACCACTATTAAAAACTTTTTAACCTAAAACAAATGGGCTTGGACAAAAAAAAAAAGAGGGGTTTGGATTCCATTAAATGGACTAGAGTAAAATGAGATGGGCTTGGATTTAAAAATAAAGTGGACTTAGATTAAAACAAATGGACTTGGGCTTGGATTAATGTTAATGGGCTTGGACTTAAATAAAATAAACTTGGTAATGGACTTGGACTAAAATCAAAAGGCTTGGTTTTAAAGTAGATGGGCTTAGACTAAAATAAGTGGACTTAGATAGAAATAAAAAAGATTTGAAAATTTTAAAGAAAATTTATTCTTTCGGAGAGGAATAAAAAAAAGAAGAATTGGACCTTCTTTTAATTATTAATGAAACTAATGAACAATATTAATGAACGAAGGTTGTGTTCCCGCTATGAGTACCATGATTGGTATGTGAGTGCGAGGTGAATTCCGAGTGTTGGTTGGATCGTGAGTATGGCTTGAGAAAAAGGGCTGGTACCCAAGTTTGGTTGAATATGATTAAACATGTCATCACGTACATCATGTGCATTTGGGGTAAAAATAAATTGAGAAAAATCATTGAGTCTTGAATTGACATGGTTTGGTAACCGAATTGAGTGGAATGGGTAATAGCAAGGAATCCATAGTACGAGCTCTATTTATTAACATTGTTAAGCGAGAGATAATTCTGCTAACCGTGTGCTACAACGAGGGATAATTTCGTTGTGAGCGGTAGGTGATATTGAGATCACCGAGAGGAATTAATAGAGCGAGTAGGTGATAACACAATCATCGAGAGATTGGGCGCACGAACTTGCATATACCCATGGTACCGGATTAAAATGGATGAAAATATGAGAAACACAATAGCATTACATATCACGTACATCACCCTACTTGCCGAGCTTTGGCTCATTACGTTATTGTATTTGTATGTTGTTCGAGCAAGGGCAAAGTTAAGTCGATCGAGGATGCTATCGGTTCTCGCTAAAAGAAGCTCATGTGTCACTCATAAAAATAGAAATATCTTTTATGTCAAACAAAAAAGGGTACGGGCCTAATTTGTAAATTTTTAGACATTTTGAATATTTTATAAATTATAGAACTATCTATAATAATGTTGTAAATTATATCATATGTTTCTCACGGTTTAGTTTACGTTTGTGTATGATAGAGGAAGTAGAGGACTTAGTCCCGACGGTGTGTCGCGCTGGTCACGCTTGTTAGGTAATAGGCAAGGGAGCCGAGGGCATCACATTTAGT